AGAATCGCTTAGTGCCTTGCAGTTAATATGTAAAAACTGTTATTAGTTTATAATATTCAACCTTGTTACTCTGGAGTCTTCCCCGCATGGTATATAATTCCGTTTGGTTCATGTCCTTGGCGGAAGCCATCATAGCGGTGCACTCACGCATTCACTCACTAAGTGTAGTATTTCATTTCTATGTACTCCGTCTTTGATATGGCTTAAATCAATTTCCTCGTCATTATAAATATCACGAATGCACATCAAATATTTTCAGGTTGCAATTTTCTAATTTCGAGTCCTTTTTTATTTACAGTTAATTCCCCTTGCCTTATAATATTAGTACCAATGATCGCTTGTAAAAACATTTCGTTTTCTGCGATAACACAAATATTTGATCGAAATGAAGAACCATCAATTTCGAATTCACCTTCAAATCTTCCTATAGGCTTAATTTTCCCATTACCAAACCCCGTTAACTGTAGATCTGCCGACTTAAGTTCAGGAGAACCTATCTTCTTATGTATATCTTCTCGGATTAACGTTACCTGACTACCAGTATCTATTAAAGCATCAATTTGCAAATTACCCAAATTAACAATTTTATGCATTTCTTTCTGACAAGTCTGAGTTATCGGAGTAACAGCTTTGGCATCTTGGATATTTTTAGATGATGTTTTCGAACAATCTATGGCCTTGTGTCCAAACAAATCGCATTTAAAACACTTAAATCCTTTACTCTTATTGTTACAAAAATTAGACTTATGACCTAAACTTCCGCAATTATAACACCTTGGCTCTTTAATCTTACTAGGTACAGCGCGTGTTTTATTTTGTGTGTTAGTACTTGAATAACCCTTATTTTTCGTATCTGGAACGCGAATTTTCTCATAAATTTTTAATTTCTCTTTGAATTCAGAAATAGTTTTACAACCGTACAAAACAATTTTGTTACTACTCTGATCTGGTATCCCATTGATTACATAATCAAGAATTGATGAATCATCAACAGAACCGCGACTGGCTATTTCACACGCATGGCAATTAAATATTCGGAAAGTGATTCACCAGGTTTTAAGTGTCGTTTCTGTAACAAATTATGAAGTTGTGCACTGTTTATTTTAGAACCAAATTCAGATAAAAGATTTTCTTTTAATTTTTTCCATGATATTATACCTTTCAAAGACCTAATAAATACTTTAGCAGAACCAGTAAGCAATTTTTTAGCAAACACAATTTTCTGTAATTCCGATAACTTAAATAATTTAAAAGATTCTTCTAAATCACCAATGAAGGATTCAACTGGATATGTATCAGTGCCATTAAATTCAGAAACAGTTTCTAAAATATCACGAAAATGTAAGGAAATATTGCTAGGCATTATAATGTTTTCATTCACACTGAGTTATTTATGGGAGGTGATTCTGACAGAACAGAATTAATATCATCATTTTATCAGAATCATAAACACTTTCGTTTTCAGATAACTCATCATCGTCATCACTTTCGGATTTTAAAAGCTTAAAATCACAAAGACTATTCAATATTAAATCACAGTTTTTATCAGGATTTGAGTCATAATTAAGATGTAACAAATTACACACAGAAATAAAATCATTTGCAGTAAAAGTTTTAAGTAATTTTTGTTTTGTTTCTTCAATATTAAAATCAGATGGAAAACCGCAAAAGTTACGCAATCTAGCTCTATTTTTTCGATCACCCAAAGTTCCAAACACAATTTGATGTAAAAGTTTAATTGACTTAGTAGGCCCAGTCTTTAAAGAATTTGAAATTCTAGGAATAGAATTTAAGGTAGTCATCTTAATTCACAGTATCATAGAACACTATTCTTAGAAGTAACAATGTGGAAATAATCGAAACAAAACTTACTTATTTTGTAATATTCATAATGCTTCTTCCTAGGCTCATCCCGGCCTGAGCGCCCAAATCTGTAGAATCGGTATTTACTGTCTAGGAATATGATGTTTGTAAACTTACTTCCGATGTGGCTGTCTAGGGGCTAATAAACTAGTCCGATTTACAAATAACTTGAATATTTAATGAAACATGAATAGTTGCAACAAACTACAAAGTAATTACATACGTAGAAGGAAATAGGTGAGATTATTTGCAAACGAAGAGAAGGAATCGTATTTCATAAGCAAACATCTTTGAATCGCGTCATCGTCTTAATGGCGGAATCGTCTGCTTTCGTCAGCGAAAAAGTGAAAGAGTTCCTCTCACAGCTTGTCGCGTCATCCGATTATAAATGAACGATGCCAACCCACATAAGTATACAAAATAAATAACATTTAGACTTTTATATGCAGTAGTGAAATTTTTTACACGTTGACATTTTCATGGAATACTGAATTATGTCGTTTGGTATTTTACATCTGTTGCCATAAAAACAGGAACAAAGTTAAAAATACATAAACAGAAAAACATCTGGCACGAGGACAACGCTACCTAGAGCATAAAAGCATTTTGAGACTGAGCAGTAGGTATTTATTTTTATCTTCATAATACGAGCTTTTACCTTCATTGTATAAATAAAATGCACTATGTTATTAATGTAATCAAATGGTATGAAACTTGACAGAAAATGGCCTTATTTCGCTAATTATTCTTATCTCTGGTCTTATAATAGAGGCGATACATCGAGGCGTGCTATCAATCAACTTCCTGCAAGCCTCAGCAGGAATGTTTCACATTTAGTCACTGTACTGGAGATAACATCAGAGAAGATCATTAGGTTCGATTTCGTATCCGTCGCTCCAATTTATCCCACAGGTATATTGCGAGATTAAGATCAGAATTTTGAGCAAGCTAGTTTAACATTTCCATCTCATTGCTAAGAAACCAGTCCTACACTGACTGTGCAATATAACAGGAATTCCATTAATTAGCAAGAGATACCTATCCGTTCTGTAACATTTCCATGCGGTTGACGAGTCGAATTGTCCAGCAAGTTGAGGAATTCGAGTTCATGTTTTGAATAAGAAAGCACATCTACGCAAAATAATCCTACATTAACACACGGTTTTCGCCGATAACACAACAGAAATCGGAGAAAAACATTAGACTGTTAACTAACAAATGCAAATGCATCTATCAAAATGGACGCATGATGAAGCGAAATTCAATAAGTGCTGAGTCTGAGCGGCTTAGCTGTGGTGCATTCATAGTTCTCCTGAGCTTATTTACCATTACTCAGAATTTTAGAAATTCGATTTTGCTCATAATACCACTGTTCCTGTTCATTCCTACGGCCTAGCTCTCTGTCAAGTGTATGTCAACATACTGCATAAATTTAGTGAACTTTTACATGCTGTGATTATGCACAAAATGATTCCACTCGTGAACTCTATATCTTTATATCTGAAATAACTCATGGACACCCACCTCTTTTGCCAGTACTAATTATACTTACCTCATTATGTTTATCTTTTTACTAATTATGTTTATCTCTTAATTTTGTTGCACCTAAACAGATGTTCAATTTAATTTGTGAATTTCAAATGGTATTCAGACTAATTTGTAATCTCCTTACGTCCTACATCATTATTTTTAATAAATACTGGATACGGGGCGTACGGTGGGATTGCACGATGTACCATAACAGGCAAACTCTAAGACCGTTTGGAAAGCTTCAGTCTATGTAAATTCTTATAAAACTTGGAATTCCCTCCCTCCCCTTTAGAGTGGAAATGCATTACGACCACGTGACCCATGGTACACACATTGCTGATGTTTCTCATACTTTTAAATTCTACCTGTACCTGCACCTGTTCTTGTTCATTGAACTGATTTTTTATGGCATTGATTTTTGTTAATTTAATATGTGCTGAGGAGACATTATACCTTTCAACTAAACCAAAAAAATTACAATTAAACTAAAAATTAACTATTACAGCCAAACGACACTGATTAGACTGGCCCAAATTCTGTTTGTGACAGTTCAACAGGCTACCTATGCATTATATTTTCCTCATGCAAAATCTAAGCATAAAACAGTTTCTTTCAGAAAGACCTTCAAATAAACATCTGTTATTATAGGAAGAAGACCTTCATTACATAGCGCTACACCATAATTTACTAATTCGATCAAGCCAAGCTTAACTGAAGGATAATCTTCAAATGAATTAAAATTTCAGGGATTTTGCTTGAGAAGCATTAATTTTTTTTTTATTATTCCAAAGGGGCTTTGTCCCTGAGGGACTGTTGTTTTCGTTTTGCGATTTTGCGTCGAATCACCCTGAATGTCCGTTTCACTTTTCAAACTGTTGCCACCAAATATTAGCGCACTGTATTATATCTGAAGGAATTAAATAATGAAAAATCTGTGTAAATGTACGTATGTTTCTCGCATTGTGATAAAACAACGGTACCTACAGCCATCCACTTTTGAATGACGTAATCCTACTGAGAATATGGGCATCTGGAAGCCCAAATTTGAAATTTGGAATTTATTTTATTATCTATTTCATATTTCGTAAACCTTTAACGAAGTTTTCATTAACAAACTCAAGGATTTCAAAGCGAGCAATGGCAATGTTGTACAGAGAAAAAAAAATATTTTTATCTCCAGAGAAGGAGATTGCGTATCGGAAATTCTAAAGATGAGCTCGATTAAGCGATATTGCTGTTAAACTAAATTTTATGGTTTAAGTTCGAAGAAGAGAATATTTAATAAAGAAAGGTAACACCTAAAATGTTTAAAAAACTTTCCTTTGGACGTAATTTAAAATCTGAAACCTTTCAGATCGGGATTATCGTATTTAGTTTAAATTTTAAATACTAATTCTCATGTAAGAATGAACAGCAATTTCCAACTATCATTAAAATTAAATGCAGCATACGACCTTCACATTGGGAATATTTTTACTGTACGTACATCTGCGTTATTTCAGATCGACGAGTTTTAATGACAAAACATGACACAGCTTTAATGTACGACACCCATAGCTCCAAATTCTACGTTTCTCCACAGCTCTGCTCTTTTCTGATGGAGCAGGTGCTGATGTCGCATATCTTGCGCACGTAATAAGAATTTATTTCTATCAAGGTGGAGGGACAAATTTCAAAGCTATGCCAAATATCGTGAAAAAAATGCGTTGTCTGTTCCAGACAGGTGAGTTATACATTAATTTTATAATTTTCGTTAATATTATAAAATAGAAACTTAGTCTGTTATATATTCGGGTACCATACAATAAGATTTCAGATTTTAATTTATGTAATATTTATTCATGTTTCCGGCAATGTATGAAATGTCGGCATTCTATAGAATATTTAATCATTTTATAGAATTACTGATCTGCTTACCAAAGTATTAAATATGAGAATTGTTATATTATATATTTTACCTGGACATTATATATAATACCTAGGCATTCTACAGAATGACAAATGCCGTTTAGGCAAAGTATAAAAAATATCATTATAAAGCTATTATTTAAAATATTTTGTCCTTAAAAATATAAATGGTTTTTAGAAAAAATAATGAATCATATCATTAAAAAAGTTATATTCAAAATACGTAAAAAAGAACTAGAGAGATGATCCTGGTACGCCATAATGCGCTTGTATTCTATATCTGGCTGAAACTGAAAATCAGTAAGATTTACTGGCCCAGTGGAATTGAATTGAGAAAAATCATAGAGCAATACCTTTTTTAATACTTTTATTTCCTCTGTCAGGGCACACAAAGGTGAATCTATAGTTCAATAACATGTAACTTTTCTTTTTATTTGATTGAAAGTTCTTTCACCATTCCGACATATCCTCCGTGTCCAACAGCCTATAAGGTATTTCTATAAGGTCCAACAGCCTATAAGGTATGCCTTCGTAGTGCAGTTGTCTGCACGTTGGGAGCGTATTCCAGAGGTCCATGGTTCGATTCTCGGCGTCGGCTTCGCTCATTTTTCATCACTCCTACTTTGAAAGTAACCTAATGACTCTACAAGCCAAATGAGTTTCATGAAGTACGTGAAATAACTCAGTGTCCGTGACGTAACACTGTATACTACTGAATCCTTCTTTAACAAGATAAATGAGTTGACTTTTGTTTTCCACAAACATCATATCTTTCACCCGCCAATAGTCTCGTGATTACTTCTTAGTCACTTTGGCTTTTTTTTTTTACATCATTTATTAACTTCTGGTAAGTAACTTCGGCTATTCGAAAAGAATTGTAGATGTATTTTATACTTTTCCCGTCGTCATTTGGCATTTATATGGAATGCCTAATCAAACTGGGTGAAATATTTAATCATTTCTTGCACTGCCAGCCGGTTTTCAGTATTCTATAAAATGCCTGGATTTCATAATTTTCCGGTAACGTACAAAATATTAGTAATAGGTTGCAGTAAGTAAAACAAATGTTAGAATGAAAAATAGGCATTTTCCATATTTCTTACTTAAATGTTCTCTGGTTTCTTCTACCTGATGTGTTTTTCTGAATAGTTATTCACGCCTGCGTCCTTAAACCGTTTTATATTATACTAGCGGAGGTGCCTGTTGGCAGTTAAGTTAGATTGAGAGTAATGCCTAATAAAAGAGAGAATGATACCACTGTAATCCTTCTCTGATGGCGATGTAAAAAATACGATTTATAGCCGTACATTTTTTAGTCTGATGAGATATGAAACCCACTTAAAAATGTCGATAGAAAAATAAACTAATTCTCTCTCATTATATCAGCAACGATGGCACGCAGTTTTTAATGATTTTCGTCTTCCTAATCAAATGGTCCTAAAAGCTCAAGTTCCATCCAATATTTCATTTGTATTCAATTTTAGGCGATTATATATGGCAAAACAATTAATCATAATTGATCAGAAATTAATAACATGCACAAACAAACGGACACTCTTCCTTATATATTGATATTGTAAAACTTAGAAATTTTTCATTAACAAACTGTAGGATTTGAAAGCAAGTAGTAGCAATACTTTTCGAAATAAAGCCTTTTTATCTCAAACGCGCGAGACTATTTTGCCACTCGGAAAAATGAGTGAGAAAATTAATGTTTTCTGAGTTTTTAATTAATATATAGGCTGATTAAATTCGAACGCATTCGAAATGGCTTCCCACTAAATTTTGGAATGGGGTATAATGTATTTAATGTTTGCCAATGTTATTCTTATTTAATGTACTTAATGTTCGGCAATGCTATTTTTATTTCGTGGTAAAACTTCGAAATGTTTTATTAACAAACTCTACGATTTGAAAGCTAGCAGTGGCAACAGTTCTCGAAATAAAGCAGACTTTCATCTTCAGCTTGCGAGACTGGGAAAAAAAAGGGCGAAATTTATGGTTTTTCATTAATATCCCTGATTTTAGCTATTTCTTTTTGGAAAAAAGTGGACGTCCACCTTTTCCAGGAGCCAGAAAAGAATCGTAGAAAGTTTGGAGATGATAGCTATAGTAGTGACTGAGATATTAGCTAACAAACAAACAGACTTTCTTCTTTATGTATATATAGGTGTGTAACGAGGTTGTACACTTTTTCAAATTTGGTTAATGACGCTTTTACGGTAAGTACCATTTTTGATACTTAAGTAATGTTGTAGAGCCATTACGCCATTATGAAGCAGGAAATCTGCAATGCCCTCGCCGGGACTCGAACCACGGACCTCTCGAATACGCGCCGAATGTGCTGACCACTACACCACTAAAGCATGCTAAGATCGCGGGAAAAAAATACCTTATAAGGTCCACCTACCTTGATAGATAGAATTCGCGTACTTTTATAAAAAGTCACTAGTTAGGGACAGTGCGTAAAATAAAAGGATACTCGTTTATTCGGATAAAAATATAAATAACTAATAGTTTCGGATGTCCTTATAAAACATATTTGTTTCGACTTATATAAAAACTAATAACGCTCTTTTTATAATTTCATATTTCATTCATAACCCTAATTAGTCATTTATTGTCCTTTCCTTATTTATTTTCACTTTCTAACCGCTCTTGAACAATTATTTCCTTGTTAATCTTTCGACTAAACATTGATGCAAATGCATCTAGAAAGGAAACTACAGTTTTTGATAGTTATTAATCATAAATAATGGTAATATATTATTAGTTGCGATCAAAAATATTTGTCTATAATATGATTAGAAATATTGTTTAATAATAATCTATAATATAAATAACGACAAATATTTTTAAATATTTACAGAATATTAATTTTGGAAACATTTAAAAATAAATAAACTTGATGTAAGTAAAGAAAAATGCTTCGAAAGAATTGGCTTGAAAAATATCCTCATCAGTTACTGAAACTAGAAAAATGAATTGTTCTATTTTAGTATAGTAAAACATTTTCACTGATATTTGAGATCTGAAATGTGAAACTATGATACCTGGTACAATTAAAATATTAATAATAATTAACTGCTAAAAGTATTGATGTTGATAATAAATTAAGTATCATTATTTTTAATTCTCTAAATAATTAATAGTATTTAATTGTTCAGATATTTTCACTTTGACATAAATAATAAAAATTTACAAACAAATTTTGAATGTGCCGGATCACAGTTAACAAATCTGCATCTGCACCAACAAAGCACTTTAGAGTTAAAATACGATTTAAGTATACTAGTGTAAAATAAAGCTTTGAGAAAATGCGCAGAATAGAATAGAGTTAAATGCACATAAAATAATTTGTAAAGCTAAAAGTTACGTTCCTGCCAAACGGATAGAAAATTTAACAAGGGTTTCGAAAAATGTCCAATTTGTATAGTATATACAAAGATACTTATAAAATTATACATTGCAAAACCATTCAGTTATACAAGAAATTAATCTTTGGGTACATAAGAGAAGGGAATAACGATTCGTAGGCCCGGCTATTGTATTTTAGGTCGCTTATTTGATCAATATATATATATATATATATATATATATATATATAATTTATTTCCCAAACAGTACTGATTAATTGATTATACTATCTCCCAAGATCAAAGTAGAAATTTTAAAAGAATTATTTTAAAAGTGCGCATCCACACTGGTAAGTTATATTTTGAAAGATGTTTTGAAGTAATTTGAAAGCAAAATGTTAATAATGTTTTAACTGGGACTGGAGTTAAATCATCACGAAGAATAATATTACAATTGTAAAAGGAAAAATTAAAGCATGTAATTATTGTCATTGATCGGAAATTAGTTGACTTTAGTAACAGTATATGTCTGAAGACAATTAGCTTTTTTACAATATATACAATTGAGTAATTACACTATATACAAATCTTTCAACTGACAGTCATCCAACTTATACCGCCTTCTCAGGTTTAAAAGTTGAAAGATTTGTATATAGTGTAATTACTCAATTGTATATATTGTAAAAAGCTAATTGTCTTCAGACATAATACTGTTACTATACTGTTACTAAAAAAATGGGCCTATTTCCTGCCTTTAGACTGTCTACTAGCTCTTGGATAGCGAAAATGCCTTTTTCCTTTCTTAAATTCTTAATCATTGCGACACGACAATTAGCCAGAAATTAATTAATTTCCATTCACTAGTATTTTCGAAAAAATCTTAACAGACGGTCTCTCTCAGATAAGAACTCCACAAAATACATCCCTCAAGAATTCCAAGTCCCACCCACTACCATAAATTACTTCACCCAAGTCTTACCGACTGATATTATTCAAAGCCCCTACTGCCGCTAAGAATTTTCGGGCACCCTACACTTCTGAGTCAGACACGAAAAGAACACTTTGCCAACTCCCCCACTAGAAAGAATGTAAGTTACTTAATACCTTTCTGGCCTTTATATCTTCATGTACATTCACTGATCTTATTTATATTATTTTCTATATTATTATTTTCATATTATTTTATGTTTTCTTTGATTTGTTTTTTACAAAGTTTGCATTATTTATCTTTTTTATAATCTTCTATGTTTATTTCAACTTTACTTTGATTTCGATTTCATAATGACAATTTCCAATGTTTAATTTCTACAAATAATATAGTACTCAATACATAAAGATGATAGTGTCGGGGACGGTTTACTCGAGTTTTACAGGATTTCTCTACAGTAATTGATTTTTACTCCAAATTGAATTGACTAAAATGCTTCATGAGAATAAGTTCTTTGAGTAGCAACTATCG